AATAATTTTGTGTCCAATAATTTGGTGTCGAATCGATCGGTGTCGAATCGTACTGTGGTCAAACGGAACACGCCCGTGGAGAAGGGCCTTGTGGAGGTCGCGGACAAGCAAATACGGAGGCTGGCCAAGTCGTGGCTCAACCTCCTTTAGCGCGCCAGCGCGGAGCTAGTCTACCTCCCTCTTAACGAGGGGGGCTGTTGCCTGCTTCCGCTTGCTGACTTCGCCGACGTCCTGACAATAGCGCACGTCTTCCGTGTACTCACGGCTGGCGACGCTAGAGTCAGAGACCTGGCGTGGTCGTCGCTGAGGGGAGTGGTTCAGCGGCAAATTGGTTCAGTACCAACGGAGCAGGACATCGCTTCGTTTTTCTCGGGCTCGCTCGAGAGAAAGTTCCGCGACGGAGAGCGTTCCCTTTGGTCTGATGCACGAAACGCGTGTAGACGGCATTCCTCCAGACTACGGATCCGTTGAATGTGGGCAGAAGAGACGCGGGAGCTTCTTCTGGAGTGTCGGGTCACGTGGGGTAATCTGGTAAAGATCCCACCAGAAGCGCGGGCGCAGGTCATCCATGCACTATGCCTGGCTATCGCGTCGTACTATACGAGCACATTGCTCGCTAAAAGGGATCAGGGGAAGGTGTTCGAGGTGGCCATGCGTCATGGAGTGAGCAATCACTTCATGCGCACTTCACCCGCTTCGCCGACTAGCGCTTCTTGCACCAAGCCCGACTCGACGTGTTGCCGTTCAACGGCGCTCGTCGGTGGGGGTAGGGCGATGCGTGTTGTTGGCGTTGCGGAGGAGGTCCCGAGACCTTTCCCCATGTGATCAATCATTGTGGGGTCCATTCCGACGTGATACAGCTCAGGCACGATGACCTGTTGCTACGAGTAGCTAGGGCCACCCGTCTGCCAGGTGAAGTCCGAATTAACCAGCGGGTCGACGGGGTCGATCACGAATTGGCGAATCTTCGAGTCGACCTCGTGATTCGTCACAAGCAGTCGCGGTCAATTATTAGTATTGACGTCACGGTGCCCTTCGAGAACCGTTGTAAGGCGTTCGATGAAGCAAGAGCGAGGAAGGTTGCCAAGTACACTCCTTTTGCTGAGGCCCTCACGCGGGAAGGGTACCGTGTGGTAGTCACGCCGTTCGTGGTCGGATCCCTCGGCTCATGGGACCGGAGGAATGAGGCGGTGTTGAAGCTGCTGCGTGTTTCTAACACGTACGCAGCGATGATGCGCCGTCTCATAGTCTCCGATACCATACGCTGGTCGCGGGACGTTTACGTGGAGCACGTTTTCGGAGTGATGCAGTACGCGGCGGCTGCTCGGTCACCCGGCGGAACGCTCCGAGACAATACGCGAGCGATTCGCCGACGCTACGGGGAACGGGACATGGCGATCCTGGCGCAT